ACTTACAAGGGAAGCAAATGGGACTTACTCATATGAAGTGAACATCACACAGTCAGTTGTCTTACTGGAGTGGGAGTGAGCCATCACACACACACACACACAGCGCGTGTGCACACACACACACACACACACGGCACGGTGTCCATCAAGGTAATCAATGAAGAGCTCCTTTCTTATAATAAACTGTCCAGGCCGGTTGGTTTTTTCTGATCTCCAAAGGCAAGAGGGGAATAATGTTTTCTATAATATGCCAAAAACACAGACCTCAGATACCCTTAATCATATCCACATTCAGGGTCATGTGTGTTTCACTGGGGTTTTCCTTCACCAAGAAAGCTCAGTGAATTAATGGTTTTCAAGATATTGTCTTAGAAATCCCATAGTCATAGGCACGATTTCTCATGGGATTGAGGGAGTTCAGGAAACGGACTCCTCGTGAGACGCTTAATGCGAAGTGGTTTTCTAGGACAGGTGGGCGGTAGTTTACTTGTGGGCAGTAGAGAGCAGTGTGCAGAAGGAACCTTGACCACTCGTGTGGACGTAGTTAAAACATCAAAGCATAGGACGAATACGGTGTAGGTCAAAGATGGTGGAAAGCCAGTGAGGAAAGCCATCTTTAAGATAGGATGGAACGCACGCACACAAACATATATATATACACACACACACATATACGTATATGGGTATATATGTATATATATATAGACACACATATAGACACAATCATGTATATATGAATATGTATACACATATAGAGACACATGTATATATGAGTATATATATAGACACATATAGACACATATACATATATATGAGTATATATATAGACATGTATATATATGAGTATATATGTAGACACAGATACATCTATGTATATATGAGTATATATACACATCTATAGACACACGTATGTATATATGAGTATAGATACATATATATGTGATTACACATATGTATACACACATTCATATACATATATGTGTATATGTGTATATACAAATATATATACACACTCAGGCAGTGTGATTGATGGCCATTTCTTGGTGGAGAACACTGTGAAATCACTATGGAATTGATTTTCCATTCTTCTTTGAGCTTTGTCATTTTTTTTTACAACCAATATATATTTCTTTTATAATAATGAAAAATTAATATTATCCTGAAAAAGTTCTCCCAAGGTATACCTTTGGTCCTACTGAAGGGGACCAGGACATGCTAGCCCCAAATGTACCTCTTTGATACATGCGATCTTTTGAGCTAAAGGCAATTGGGAACAAGCAGACCCAGGAAACGCTCTTTACTTCCCTCCGCCACCGCCCCCAACTGTCTAAAAAATAAAGTATCAGTTTACTGTTTTGTAAAGGAAATTTACATTTATCCAGGGATTTTCTATTTGTAGTAATGTCTCCATTCCAGGGAGAGAGCTACTCCTGGAGATGACTCTTTTCACCCGAGACTCTTATTTGCATAACAAGACGGTCCTTATTTATATACACACATTTCTTCCCTTCCCATAACCTGCCTCCTCCGCCCAGAATCCCAAAACCCCTTTTCCTTTGTTTATCCTAAGATGGTATATAAGCCTCTATCATCTGGCCACCTCCTTGAATCACGTCATTTTGGGTATTTCTCTATGTATGTATGTAATTAAAACTGTTTTCTCTTGTTAAACTGTCCTTTAACAGTTTGATTTGCAGGCCCCAGGATGGAACCTAAGAGGATAGAGGGAAAAGGTTTCCCCCCCTACAATACTTTATAAAAATGTAGGTTTTACGTGTGTATATTTTTAAAAGTAGAAATATGTGGGTGTGCATTTATTGTCATAGGCAATAGTAATTTTGTCTTTGATGAGAACTTGAAAACCTCATTTGCTTAGCGGAAATGTATGACCTGCTACATTCCTGACATCTTGCTGAGCATGGGGGCACTAGCGGGCCATGTGCACTTAGCACCTGGTCTCAGGTGGCTCCGTGTAACTTCTTCAGTGGGTGTAGATCGGCTGTCAGATCAATGCCAGATGGAGACGAAGTACAGTCCTCAATCTTGTAAATGTCACATACTGTTTACGTGAAACACAGGTATCAAAAAATCCAGTGTCCTCTTCCCACCCAGAAAGCTTCAATTTAGGAATAGAATTTCCCATCTCTAAGTAATGTTTTCCTAGTTTTTAATCAAGACCCCCTTTGAGGATTATCGAGTCTTTGATTCAATACACAGGTTTGCATATGTTGTGTTCAAAATATCATTTTTCACCTTTCCTTCTCTTGTCTGTAAGGTAGAGAAAGTGATGGGGGTCTGAGTATGCCAACTCAAAATATGCCACTTTGACATACAGGTTATTTTGAGCTTCTGGAGAAGCAACAGATGCAGAAGGGTGCCTTTCTGGAGCCTCCCTTATCTGACTAAAAGCAGAAACTTGTGAGAAATGAGGACTTCCCAGCTCTTTGGGGTTTTCTCTTCTTTTCTATGAAGTGCCCCATACGTGTAAGGTTAGAAGTAAAATTGGTATACTTCTCTCTTTAATCTGACACTTGGTGGCTTAATTTGCAGGCCTCAGGTACGGAACACAAAAGTACAGGAGAAAAATTTTTCCTCCCCGACAAAAAGCCTGCCACAAGACTGTCTCTACTTTTGTTTCAGATCGACTTTCAAATTAGTTATGAAGTAGTTATATCAACAGATTATTATTTATTGAAAACAAAGATACATTTTTATGGTTTCCGTTCTACCTTTTGACACCATTCATTACAAAAGCAACGTATTAAAAATCTCATGTTTCGAATCAAGCCATGCAGACATTTCATGAATTTCTTCTACCTCTGCTTAAGTTTGTGGATTGATTCTCCCTTTCAGCTGCCTTCTGTCTGTTAAAATTGCAACAGTCTCTTCATTGTTTTAAACACCAAGTGTCTCTGCCATTCCTCCGGGCTTTATTTATAAACTTTCATGGGGAATCATGTCCTCTTCTGTATCGGCTTTGATTCTTTTCCAGTTCTACTGTGGATGTTTATTTATCTTTAAATCCACCAGGGAACCTCTCCTGAAATGACTTGTACTCTTGATTTTTTTTCCTCCTGTAGAGAAATGTATTGACTTTCCCACCCACATAGTATATTTAGAGAATTTCCGTTCTCTCTTCTCCATGCTACCGTAGAAAACCATAGTTATATCACTTGTCAGTTTACCCTTGAGGAATGTGCACATTTATGGTTCCCTCTCTTCTTTCTAAATTCGGGATTCCTGTTCCCTCCCAAACAGCCCTGGTAATTCAGGAGCAAACGTGTGCACGTGAGGTCGAAATGGCCCAATTCCAAGGTGAAAGTTCAGCCTTTCTCTCCCCCCACTTAATAACTCCCTCTTTCCTGGAGGTCTCTCCTCTTCTGGGGGGAAGAGACAGGAGGAAACTGGCAAAAACAAGTATCTTGATGATAATTGGGAGGTTGTCGTGGATCAGAGGAGGGCATCTGTGCTCAGAACTGCGCTGTATGTTTGTCTTAATTCCTCCCTCCAACAAAAGATCTGTTTGGAATTCCTTTGGCCGACGCCCTGCGGCAAACTTGTCCGGTGTCACCCTTGGCTGACTTGTTCTGAGTCATCTTTCAGACAAAAGACTAGGGGCTTATTTTCAGCTTAAACTGCATGGACCCGAGGCCGAGGCCAAACCTCCGAATTTGCCTGTGGCGTCTTGTGACGAGGGGCCGTGTGATGGGCACACGGTGGGGACATGCTGATGAGGTAGAAAGATGCTACCCAGGAAACAGCAGGAGGCAGGACTCAGTCCGAAAAGGGGCTGATGTGGTTGTCACATAGGAACAGACAAGCGCCCATGTGTGCAATTTGTAGAATTGAGGTTTTTCAGAAAGTCTCACTCGGCAACTAAGCATACGAGGCTCGATTTCTGATACCCTTTCTTGTCCTGTTTTCTACGTTCTAATATTTCCCTTTTCCTTTTATTATTTTTTTCCCCTTCTGTGCTTTCCTTGGTCACATTTTCTCAGTTCACTTTTCTGAATCATTTAGTCAATTTAGTTCGTTTATTGCGATTTTTTTTTTGTTTGTTTGCGTTGGGTCCTCGTTGCTGCACGCAGGCTTTCTCTAGTTGCAGCGAGCAGGGGCTACTCTTTGTTGCGGTGCACGGGCTTCTCATTGCAGTGGCTTCTCTTGTTGAGAAGCACAGGCTCTAGGGCTTCAGTAGTTGTGGCATGCGGGCTCAGTAGTTGTGGCGCGCAGGCTCAGTAGTTGTGGCGCACGGGCTTAGTTGCTCCGTGGCATGTGGGATCTTCCCGGACCAGAGCTCAAACCCGTGTCCCCTGCGTTGGCAGGTGGATTCTTAACCACTGCGCCACCAGGGAAGTCCCCATTTATTGCAATTTTTAATTCCTATTTAGGAAGAGCCTTTGTCCGTTGAATTCCAAAGCGTGTTTTCTCTGCGTTTCACGCGACGACTCTGATTTCCTTCTTTTCATCTTTGTGTGAAACTCCCACGAGGGTGAATTCCATGGATGGATTTTCTCCCAACTTAGGAGACACCTCTGAGGTTGAAAGAGTGAAAGTAACATAGAATATGGGGCACATCCCACCAGAAGAAGGAGCTCAGGTGGCGCTGTATTCATATCCCATAAAACTCAGGAAAAGGAGCTGTGGGCCTGAAGAAAGTGACTAAGCCCTAAGGAATGAGAAACGATGTGTTTTGCCAGAGAGGCATCCCGGGTTGTCAACACGTTGTGCCCCCCATAACATGATCTGCAACGATAGGAAGCTAAAATGGACAGGCTGCGTCCGAGTGGGACACGTGCAGGGCCTGTTTCCCAAGCGCTGAGCGTTCGGAGGAGAGCAAAACGCAGTCAGTTCTCAGAGATGGAAACGATTCTCGTAACACACTTGAACTCAGGTGCGTGTGTAGCTGCCCTCAGCCTGTAGCTGGAGATTGCCGGCCGGGCGAGGGGAGAATCGGGGCCAGACGCCTGCGTTTCACACCCTCTCCCGCTTTGCTTCTGCAGCGGCAGCTACTCGCCGCACGCGGCGTACGCCCAGAGCAAGCTGGCCCTGGTGCTGTTCACCTACCACCTGCAGGCGCTGCTGGAGGCCACGGGCAGCCCCGTGACCGCCAACGTGGCCGACCCCGGCGTGGTGGACACCGACCTGTATAGACACGTCTTCTGGGGCACACGGCTCATTAAGAAGCTGTTCGGCTGGTGCTTATTCAAGGTAAGGCTGCGGTGGTCGGGTGTGTCGCTGTGGCTTGTGTGCTCCGAGCCCACGTGGGCAGAGTTTGGTTTCCCGAAGGGGCTGGGCTTTCTGTACTCGTGCCCGGGGCCGGGGGGGCGGTCCTCAGGACGATGAGAATCCTCGTGGCCTGGGAGCCCGTGGTCCCATTGCCGAGATAAGAAGCACAGAGGCAGAACCCTCCCTTGTGTATCCACGCGAGTGTTGGCATTTTTTTGTTCTTGTTGTTGCTGGAAAGGAGAAAAATCGATTTTGGTCAGAGGCCGGCGGCGGGCTTGCATTTGCTCCCAAGGACCCTGGTCATTAGCGAGCGTGTCTGACTCGGGGCTGATGGGTCTCAGAGGGTCATGTCTTGAAAGAGCAGGCGACATCTGGGGTTGTCCTTCTGGGCTCTCCCTGGCCCTGGTTTGCGCGCTCTTGAAGGGCGTTGGAAGCACACCCGTCTGCCTCGAGAAGTGAAAGCCGTGTGTCTTCCCCTCCGGCCTCCCTCCGGTTCGGGAATAATCGCGTGTGCTTCCTGCTTGTGTCTGCGCCGCCCTGCGCCCGGTGTCTCCTTGGACAGCGCTTTGCTTCTCTTTTTATTTTCTGTTGGTGTACAGTTGATGAACCGCGTGGTGTGAGCTTCAGGGGTACAGCGCAGCGATTCAGTTACGCATATGCATGTGTCCACTCTCTCAGATCTGTTCCCATTTCGGTTGTTACAGAATATTGAGTAGAGTTCCCTGTGCTCTCCGGCAGGTCCTTGTTGGTTATCCATTCTACCTGTGAGACTTTGCATCTGCTAACCACAAACTCCCGATCTATCCCTCCCCCCGATCCTTCCCCCCATAACCATAAGTTTGTTCTCTAAGCCTGTCAGTCTGTTTCTATTTTGTGATTAAGTTCATGTGTGTCATCTTTTTTTTTTAATATTATCTTGATTTTATTCTTGCAACATCCAAATGAGACAGACCAGTTGTCAGGTATTTTATGATAACAAATACATTACAAAGTCCAAGCTTTTGAAAGAAAGGAAGATGACTTATTAAAACCTTCTAAGTATCCCCGATTTACTGATAACTTTTAATGCAGAAGGAAATGAATAGGTGTCTGACGTGCAACTCATGGTTTAATTGCAAATACCTGGATTAGGTAAGCAATTGTTATTGGTTCCTAACTAAAAAAAAGTTGCAGAATATAAAACATATACACTCTTTTCATATTTAGCATCTCATTAAGACCCATGTTTCTCTATTATTTTTTTAAATTAATTAATTTATTTATTCTCGGCTATGTTGGGTCTTCGTTTCTGTGGGAGGGCTTTCTCTAGTTGCGGCAAGCGGGGGCCACTCTGCATCGCGGTGCGCGGGCCTCTCGCTATCGCGGCCTCTCTTGTTGCGGAGCACAGGCTCCAGGCGCACAGGCTCAGTAGTTGTGGCTCATCGGCCTAGTTGCTCCGTGGCATGTGGGATCCTCCCAGACCAGGGCTCGAACCCGTGTCCCCTGCACTTGTGATATTTTTTTGGATTGCACATATAAGTGATACCACACGGTATTTGTCTCTGTCTGACTTACTTCACTCCGTATGAGAATCCCTCGGTCCATCCATGACATTATAGGTTATTGTAAGATAATGAGCAGAGTTCCCTGTGCTCTACAGTAGGGCCTTGTTGGCTCTCTATTTTATATCCAGCCGTGTGGACATGTCAGTCTCAGTCCCACCAAAGGCCGCTTGGAGGACTCATCTGGGCCCCGCTGGACCTCAGCAGACCCCTCTCCACGGGGCATCGGACACCCAGGGCACAGCACAGCCATGGCCGGATGCCGGGGCGAAGGGCGGGCTCTCACAGTACACGTGAACCAGACCACAGGGGGTGAGGCCAGGAAGTAGGAGCTGGGGACGCACAGAAGGCTTGGTGACGTGTGCCTGCCGCCACGGCCATGGCTCAAATGATGCCGAAGTGAGAAATGATGAATGCCAGGCCCCTCAAATCCCTCCGATTAAAGGTTCCCCGTGTTTCTGTTTTGGTGTCCCTCCTGCTCCATTTTGCCCATGTAGAGTGAGCCCTGACAATCTAGTATGCAGGGGTCTCTGGGTTGTTTTTTTTTTTAACGTTTGACTCCATTTATAGTTATTAGAAAATATCATCTATATTCCGGGTGTTGTACACGATCTCCTTGGAGCTTATTTTATGCCTAACGGTCTGGACCTCTTAATCCTCTCCCCCTACATTGCCCTTTCGGGTATCTCTTTCTTGATCAAACTTCCTTTCTGGTGCAGTTAGGTTGTTATCCGTTTTACCCTGATAAATGCAATAATCGTAAGAAAAATTAACATCCAGTCTGTCGCCCTCTGTATGAGCCACAAGCTAAAAATAATTCCTTTATATACAGTTAATCCCCAAGTAACCCGGTGAGGCCCATAAAGACCATGGTTGTCGTTATTTTACCATCCACACTGGAAGCATAGGGATGAAATTACCTACCTGCCCAAGGAGGCCCCGTGCCCCTAGACACATTGGTGTTTCTGTGATTATTTCTTGCTTTTCTTTATAAACATTGTTTTTTATTTTTGTTTTTTTTTTGCTTTTTATTGAAGTGTAGTGGATTTACAACGTTGTGTTAGTTTCAGGTGTACAGCAAAATGATTCAGTTATATGTATATATTTTATAGAGAGAGAGGGAGATATTCTTTTTCAGATTCTTTTCCATTATAGGTTATTACAAGGTAGTGAATATAGTTCCCTGTGGTCTACAGTAGGTCCTTGTTGATTATCTATTTTATATATAGGAGTGTGTATCTGTTAATTCCCAAATCCTAATTTGTCCCCCCCTCCCGCCTTTCCCCCTCAGTAACCATGAGTTTGTTTTCTATTTCTAGTTCTGTTTCATAAATAAGTTCATTTGTATAATTAAAAAAAATTAGATTCCACATATAAGTGATGTCATATGGTATGTGTCTTTGTCTGCCTTACTTCACCTAGTATGATAATCTCTAGTTGCATCCATGTTGCTGCCAATGGCATTATTTCATTCTTTTTCATGGCTGAGTAATATTCCATTGTGTATATGCACCACATCTTCGTTATCCATGCAACTGTCGATGGGCACTTAGGTTGCTCCCATGTCTTGGCTATGGGAACAGTGCTGCAGTGAACATTGGGGTGCATGTGTCTTTTTGAATTAGAGTTTTCTCCAGATATTTGGGGTTGCTGGATCATATGCTAACTCTATTTTTAGTTTGTGAAGGAACCTCCATACTGTTCTCCATAGTGGGTGCACCAGTTTACATTCCCACCAACAGTGCAAGAGGGTTCCCTCTTCTCCACACGCTCTCCAGCATTTATTGTTGGTAGACTTTTTAATGATGGCCATTCTGATGGGTGTGAGGTGGTACCTCATTGTAGTTTTGATGTGCATTTCTCTAATAATTAGTGATGTTGAGCATCTTTTCATGTGCCTGTTGGCCATCTGTATGTCTTCTTTGGAGACATGTCTGTTTAGGTCTTTTGAGTGATTATTCTTTTAGGATAAATTTTTAAAAGCGAGTTTGTTTATCTAGAGGCTGTGCACATTTAAAATGTGGTACCCAAATTCCCACAACACATTTCTGCTGATAATTTTCTAGTGTTTTGCCCCTAGACCATTTGTGGTCCCATTTAACCCTGCATTTTTTTTCCTGTTAGCAGTGAGATGGTATGTTTACAGGACAGTGTCTGGCTCCTTGTTAGGATTACGTCTTTCTTTCCTCTGACCGTCACCTTTCAGTGGGAGGTGCTGATCGGCTTTCACAGTCTTGGCGGGTGGACCATATTCATTTCTTCCTCATCACGGGGTCGCAGAGATTAGAAACGGTGATCGCCAGAGCCCTGGAGGGGAGGGTGGAAGCCATAAATGGCAGTGGTCGCCCTGAGTTCTGCACCTCTGGGCTCTCCTCAGTGCAGCCTTTGGGGCCACCCGTGGAACTCAGATTCTCACAAGTATGAATTAACAGTTACAACCGGGCCCCGGCATCCAGCCAGCACCAGCTGTAATTACATCTTCGTCAGCAGGCCATCAAAACCCACCTCTCCTGAATCACCCGGTTCCCCTTTGTGGTTCCGTTCAAAATCGAATTTCCCTTTGTGCATGTGACAACTTGTGCGAATTGTTGGCTCTTGTCCTGTGGGGGCACTTATCTGTGTGTGTGCGTTGCGGAGGGGAGGTGATGATGCAGAAAAAGCTTCTCTGTGTATTAGGGACATAATCACTCGTTTCATCTTCCACGATTGGTCCCCAGAATCCTTGTGCCTTCGGTCTTAGAGAAAGTACTTTTTTGCCAGAATGAGTCAAGGGGTTAACGTTTTTTTTTCTTGTTGTAAACTGTTCTGTTGTTTAACTTTCATGGTTTCTGGGCTGACGTGATTAGAAATTCCCCTCCAGTATTTTTACCTGTGGCAACAACTGAATCCTTAGCCTAGGTGATGTCCGCAGGGGGTGATGTAGGAAGACCCCAGGTGCTTATTCCTGTTCAAACTGGGGGCCCTGTGTCCAAGGGTCCATCCTTCTCTGCTGACCGCAAACCATGAGGATTCCTAAAACCGCCAACTGTGACGCTTACTAAAGGGGTTTCCTAGAAACCTACCCTTGCTTCCGTCTGTTCTGAATTTACTTTTATCTACACCATCACTCTCTTGTCCTACCTTTCCTGACTCTGAACTGATTATCTTTCCAGACCACCTTTTAGATGATTTTGCAAATCGAGGAAAACAGCATGTAGGAGGAGGGGGTCTCCTGTATAGTCACTTGCTCACGTATTTTGTACATTTTGGTGGTCATCTTTTCACAACCGATATAATCATCGTAAGAAAACTTACTTTGGGAGGGGGAATTTTTTTTTTTATTGGAGTATGGTTGCTTTATAGGATTGGGTTAGTTTATACTATACAGTAAACTGAACCAGCTCTACGTGTACATAGATCCCCTCGGTGGGAGGATTTTTGATTTCATTCAGGATTT